TAAACTCTATTTTCCAAAAAAGAAAGGAAGGAAGGAAGGAAGGAAGGAAGGAAGGAAGGAAGGAAGGAAGGAAGGAAGGAAGGAAGGAAGGAAGACAGACAGGTAACTATGAGAGTATCAGCAAGAGGGTTAGTGCATAGCTCCTGGGCCTAAAAGGGTGACAGATCACGTCACCCCTGACAGAGGAGGAGCCCTCTGGAAACAGAAGCAGAGGCCAAGAGTGAGGGGCAAAAGGAGTCCTCAGAGGTTCAAAGAAACAGGAGGTTGCAGTCTAGAGTCAAGAAGAGTCACAAGCAAAGCGGACAATGAGAGGCAAGGTGGCTGCCATGCAGAGGACGGGAGCCATGAGGCAGAGCACAGGAGGTCATAGGGTCAGAGCGCTGCTGGCTGTTATGAAGGCTGGCTGTGGCCAGGGCTGGCCCCCTGAGGGCGCTGTTCAGGGTGGGTGTGCAGGTGCATGGAAAGGGAGGCCGAAATCTCCAGCCACAGAAAACTGTGCTCCATCAGCATGGACTTTATTTCTGTTTCTCTCATTGGCGCCCCTGAGAATCTCAGTAGAGCTCCTTGTGGGCAGTCAGGCCAATCCTGACACTGTTCAAGACAGGGGATGGCTGGTGGGCAGCAACCCTGATGGAGCAAGGAATCAGGTGCTTAGCATGGGACCTCACACAAAGTCACTGTAGTCCATGTCCACGGAGCGGAGGTCCCAGGCCTCTACTCCAGGCTCAGGAAGGCTCTGAGACTCGCTTTTGTTCTCATTCTCATCCTCAACCTCATCCTCATCCTCGATCTCAATCTCAACCTCATCATTGCCCTCACTGTCCTCAATGTTCACTGCTTCCTTGGACTTCTGGAGACTGGAGCCCATGACTATACCAGATGACACTGAGAACTTGGGTTCCAAGGGGTTTGTGAGTGTCTGGTCCTCAGTCATCAGAGACTCCTGAGGGCTGAAAGGCTGACTGACCAGCCAGTTAGAGAAGAAAGAGCGGCAGGGTTCCATGGTCTGGTTCTGGTCGGTGTTGGTGGCTGGCTCAGGCTGCATGGGGGGCATCTCTGCACTGCGGTGGGAGGCACTGAGCTGGGAGGCATGCCCGGTCCTCTCGGCCTCCTCCAGTTTACGCAACAGGCAGCTCCAGTTGATGTCCGAGGACAGGTGGATGCTGGAACCCTTTACCTTCTTGAATCCCAGGAAAAGGTCCACGAGGGTTTCAGTGATGGGAAAGGAGATGAAGCCCAGCTGCTTATTGAGGTCCTTCTCAAACTTGTACTTGCAGATAAGCAGAGAGACTGCTTGCTGGGCCAGGAAGGTGAGGAGCTCCTCATGCCAGGGCTTAGAGAAGTGAGACATGCTGGACTTGGTTGAGAGGGAGGGCGGCGACTTCTTTGTGAACTTACTGCTGGGGCTCTGTGTGGCAGTTGGGGAGGGAAAAAGACATGTCATACCTCTTGCTGCCCTGTGATGTCCCTCACACCCACAGCACCCTCCTCGGCGGCCCTGCCAGTCCTGCCCATCACAAACACAGACTCCATACTTGTCACACTATGGGTACACCCTTACCATATCCGCTGTGCTTCACAACAGCCAACGCTCACCTAACTGTCACACCTACTATAACTATAAGGCCTGGGGCAAGGCCAGGGGCCTCAGTCACAGTGTCAGCCAAACCTGAACCTTAACAACCTGGACTCCTGCCCTGGTCTGTGCCCACAGGGAAGTGTGGCTGGGCCTTGATGGGTGAGGAAAGAGGTGGGGGAATGTTCGGGAGACCCATTCAGGGTGAGGCCACCTACATCTTTTACATAATCCTCCCTGGTCAACTTGCCTTTGGCAAAGTAAAGACACTAGAGAGTCCTGCTAGGTGCAGTAGCTCACGCCTATAATCCCAGCACTTTGGGAGGCTGAGGTGAGAGGATTGCTTGAGCACACTGGTTTGAGACCAGCCTGGGCAACCTGGCGAGACTCATCTCTACAATAAATCAAAAAATTAACCAGGCGTGGTGGTGCACGCCTGTAGTCCCAGCTACTTGGAAGGCTGAGGTAGAAGGATCGCCTGAGCCCAGCAGGTCGAGGCTGCGGTGGCTGGGAGCATGCCACTGCACTCCAGCCTGGGTGACAGAGTGAGACTCCAACTCAAAAAAAAAAAAAAAAGAGATTAAAGAGTCCTGTCCTAGGCAGCTGGATTAGAGGACGCTTGACTTAGGGTGCAGGGTCCCAGCTGGGATAAAGCCGCGTCCACGAGGGACAGGACCCTCCCCATGTGGGAAGGTCTCCAAGATTCACATAAAAATGTTAGAGAAATACCCAGGATAAAAAATAGGCTTTATTCATCTTTGACAACACTTGGTAGTAGCTAGGCCAGGGTTTGTTTCTAGTCGGCTTGCCCCCTGCTGCTGGTGACAGTGACTGCTAGGAGCGGCGGGTCAAGGAGCCCTTCTGCAAACTCATCCCCAAGATGCCCAGCCCCACTCTCGAGGAGGTCACCTCCAAGTGTGGTGAGGCAGGAGATGGGGGGATGACTGGGGAGATGATAGGGGGAAGGCAGGAGGAAAAGGAAGGGTGGGGGGAGACCAGAGGAGGCGTGGCAGGGCTTGTTAGGTGGCTGTGGCTGGAGGCCAACTCCACCACAATCCCAGGGGTGGGCAGGGTGAGATGCAGCCTCTGCCAGGGCTGGGACCTCTGGCTGGGGTTCAGGGACACAGGAGGCTTCTGTAATTTGGGATCTGAATCCGGTTCCCCCTGCCTGGAGTAAAGTGAGGGGCTAAGGACTTTTGGCTCTTCTGTGGGTGTCACCTTGAGCCCGAGTCTGGTGGTCACCGGGACACTAGACACAGGAGGGGAGCCCTGTGTGCTCTTGATTTTTCCGTTAGATGCCTTGGGGTTGGAGGCTGTGGTTAGGGGGGAGTCGTGGGGCTCCTCCTTCTTGGTGGCTGTGTCGGGCTTGAAGTCTGGCAGCAGCAGGTCAAAATGAACTGGCAGCTCTGGGGCAGGCTCGAAGTTGGCGGGAAAGAGAGGGCAGCCATCGCGGCGGCGGGCGCCCTTGAGCTTGTCCACAGCCTGGCTGACCACGCTCTGCAGGGCGGAGAGGAGGTTGTGCTTGGCCAGGAAGTCCAGGGTGCGATGGGGCTCATGGAATGCACAGTAGCCAGGCAAGTCAAAGGATGCCGGCTGGCTCAGTAATGACTTGATCTCCTTGTTGAACTCTCGCTTGAGGAAGACCAGCTCCCGTTCTCCAGGCTCCAGCTCTGACACTGCAGGTATACTTGATTCCGAGCCCAGCAACCCTGAGAACAAGGACTGGGGCTGCTCCCAGGTCCATTGACTGCTGGTCTGGCTGCCCAGTGTGTCCCACAGGAGGGAGTCCCTCTGGGAGCAGGACTGACTCAGGCCTTTCTGCAGAAAGAGAGGGCAACTCTGAGAAGTGTTCAGGAGCAGCCACACTAGGTCTGCCTCTGGCCCTATCCCACTCAGCCCCAGCCACAGCCCCAGATCTCACCCCTTTGTTCTCCAGCTGCTGCAGTCGCTTGAGGGTCTTCTCCAGCAGGAGTTTGTCCTTTACCGGTGGCAGTGAGCCCAAACTGTGAGCACCCAGGTCACTGTCCCGGCTGTGGGAGTCAGACTTGGAGCTGGATCTGGATGGGTAGTTGTTGAGGCGTCCAGTGCAGAGACTGGGCAGAACACGGTGCCGGTGCACGGCTCTGAGGCTGGGCCGGGCATGTGCCCGCCGCCCACCACTTGGCACCTCTACTGGGTCCTGCACCTCCACCAACGGCACCCCGGCCCTTGTCTTCATGGTAGCTATGCGCTCAGTTGCTTTCTCCACCACCATCTGCAGACTGTCCAGCACCTGGCTCTCGGTCAGGAAATCCAGGAAGTTGCCAAAGGGCTGAGGGCACCTCTCATTTCGACTGTGGCCCGGGAGCGCTGAGCTGCCATACGTGGACGGTGGGTGTGGCACACGGCCCAGCTTGGAGGCTGGCCCCATTTCTGAGAACAGTGGCTTCTTGGGCGGCTGCATCTGAGCAGACAGACATGTTACAGTGGGTAAGGATGCCTTACTAGTTGAGGGGTCCCTGGGGTCACCCATGGTGCCACCAGGAGCTGGTGGAAAGTGAGCAGTGGAAAAAACTGCATTTTGGAGTCAGGCAGCCCGGGATTTGGGTCCTGGCTCTCCACCTTTAGGCTGTGTGACAATGTGCATGATGACCCCTCCTGAGGTTCAGCGTCCTCATCTGCAACGTGGAGAACTGTTTAGGGTTGCTCTGAAGCTTCTCTGAAAGCTTAGTTCTGCCACCACACGTGGCAAGATGGGAAATTGTGAAACCCCTCTGAATCTCTCTCTGGTTCCTCATCTGTCTATGTAGCAGGCCAGCCCCATCTGTCTCTGGTTCCTCATCTGTCTATGTAGCAGGCCAGCCCCGTCTCCACTGCTAGGCTGCAGAGAATACCTTAGGCCCTGAGCTATGTACCCTGTGACTGCTTACCCAACTTGGGCCCTAGGTCCTTAGCTGACTCCATGCTCCCATCTGGGTTCCTCATTCACTCAAGCACCTCCCAAGTCGCTGGAAGTTGTGGGACATAGAATGAAATTGAAAGTAATCAGGGCCCAGCAGGGATCCTGGGAGAGGTCAAAGCAATAAGAACTTTGCTAAGGGGTCCAGGGAGGAGGTCAGCCATGGCCTGGGGCACCAGAGTTGGTGGGGAACACGTTGGGGGTTCCAGGGTCAGTGCCCCGTTGGGTACACTTACCCGCGTCATGTACGTGGGGTGGACGGCCTCGTCGTCGGCCAAGTATCCCGAGTGGTGGCGACATCTGGCCATGGTGCTGGTGGTCAGGCCGGCTGTCCGCCTTTCTCTTGGATCCCGCAGCACAGCGGGGGACTCCGCTCTGCGTGGGATGGGGAGACAGTGTGAGGGTCTGTACAGGCCTCCATGTGTCCATGAGTAAGCGGCCCCGACGGTCCCGCTCCCAGCACCCTGCATCCTTCATGCATCCGGCCCTTCCTCTATCCAGAAGCCCCCAGGCATCTGCGGACTGATGGATTCCAGAGTCGTCGGGGTAGGGTAGCCGAGGACGTCCGCATACTGCCTACGACCATCCCTGAAGCTAGGTGTGCCCGACCCTCCCTCCTCCCAGACCAAGGACACCTTGGCGTCCGCCGGACCGACAGTCGACCTGCTCACCAGAGCCCCAGTCACGCTCCGCGCGCCAGCGCAGTCACTCCAGCACTAAGGCCTGCACTGCACTGGGTGCTGGAGCGGCTGGGCAGTCCTGGCTTGCTCATTTGCATATCACGTCCTCATTGGTTCGCACTGAACGGGTAGCTCACAAGCTTCTCCGACACAATGGCTGGGGGCGGGGCTCACGTTAGCTCCTCCCCCGATTCGCTGTACCCTGCCCACTACGTTCTCCGGGAACCTGGAGGCCGGGGATGTTGCGAGTCAGGCTCCGCCAGGCCAGGAAGGAGGGGTCCGGATGCTGAGGCTAGGATCTGTGATTCGCACCTTCCCTGAGGGAAGCCTAAAAGTCAAAGCCCCGCACCCCACCGGTGACACAAGCACCTTCTTGGTTACTCCCTGGTCGCTGCCCAGCGCTGGGTCTCCTGCTCACCGCTCCTTTCCGGGGGCCTCCTTCCCTCTCCCAGTGTGGACAATCCCATGGTCCATCTTGGGTTTTTTTCTTGTTTTTGTTTTTGTTTTTTGAGTTGGAGTCTCACTTTGCCGCCCAGGCTGGAGTGCAGTGGCATGCTCACGGCGACCACAGCCCCGACCTGCCTCAGCCTTCCAAGTAGCTGGAACTACAGGCACGCGCCACCGTGCCCAGCTAAGTTTTTGACTGATTGTAGAGACAAATCTGGCCAAAGTTGCCTAGTGTGGTTTCGAACTCCTGAGCTCAGGCAATCCCCAGAGTCCTTCTTGAAAGCTTCCCCCTCTGCAGTCTTCCTAAGGGCAGTGGAAAAGTCCCGGCTCTCAGTCACAGATCTAGCTTCAGTTTCTGACTCTGCTGTTTCTTGCCCGTGTGACTCAAACTCTCTGAGCATCCACCCCTTTTCTTTTCTTTTTTTGAGTTAGAGTCACTCTGTCACCCAGACTGGAGTGCAGTGGCCGCTCCCGGCCACTGCAGCCTCGACCTGCTGGGCTCCGGCGATCCTTCCACCTCAACCTTCCAAGTAGCTGGAACTACAGGCGTGCACTGCCGCCCGGCTAATTTTTTATTTGATTTAGTTTAAGATGAGGTCTCGCCAAGTTGCCCAGGCGGGCCACAAACCCATGGGCTCAGGCAATCCACTCACCTCGGCCTCCCAAAGCGCTGGGATTACAGGCTGAGCCACCGAGCCCAGACGCACACCTTTTCTTTAAATGGGGTTGAGTCTCCCTCCATGTGGGAGTATGGGGATTCAATAAAATAGTCATACAACACACCTGGTACCCCTGTATATTATACAGGAGTCCTGTATATTCTTACCTCCTCTCCTCCCCTCTTTCTAGCAAACTCCTCATTATGCAATGGTGTCACCTCTGAGAAGCCTTCCCAGAAAGCCTACACTCCCAACAGAATTCATGGTAAACTCCATCCCATACTCTGCCACACCATGTTGCTACTTATTTGTCTACTGGATGGTGTTCTTTTGGGACAGTTGCTAAGGCAGGCACCCTTATCTCAAATACTTCCAGTGCTCAATAATTGTGATTTTTTTTTTTTTTGAGTTGGAGTCTCACTCTGTCGCCCAGACTGGAGTGCAGTGGCCGCTTCCGGCCACCGCAGCCTCGACCTGCTGGGCTCCGGTGATCCTTCCACCTCAGCCTTCCAAGTAGCTGGAACTTTTTTTTTTTTTAGAAAAAAGGTCTCACTCTTTCGTCCAGGCTGGTCTTGAACTCCTGGGCTCAGGGGTTCCTCAGCCTCCCCTGGGATAACACTGTGCCCGGAGGCAATTTGAGAAAGACTAAAAATACCTAATAACACAAAAAAGTTAGGCACTGCTATAAAAAAAGAAAATACAAGAATGAGATAACATTGATATGATCATCTTTTTACTCTCAACATAACACAAAGACTTTTGGGTTGAGGAGAAGAGGAATTGGGTGTGTTTATTTGCTTACAGAAAACACTGGAAAGACACAACCCATAAAGTTAACTATGGTGACTTCTGGGAAAAATAAGATTTTCTTTTTTTCTGTTTTTTTTTCTTTTCTTTTCTTTCTTTGTTTTTGTTTTTGTTTTGTTGTTGTTTTTAGAGTTGAAGTCTCACTCTGTCTCTCAGGTTGCCCAGGCTGGAGTGCAGCAGCACGATCCTGGTCACCGCAGCCTCTATCCGCTGAGGCCTCAGGCGATCCTTCAGCCTCAGCCTTCCAAGTAGCTGGAACTATAGGCATGTGCCACCACGCCAGGCTAATTTTTTGACTTATTGTGGAGACGAAGTCTCGCCAAGTTGCCCAGGCTGATCTGGAATCCCTGGGCTCAGGCAATCCTCTCGACTCGGTATCCCAAAGTGCTGGAATTACAGGCTTGAGCCACCGCGCCCAGCCTTTTTTTGTATTTTTCTTTCTTTTTTCTTCCTTTTCTTTTTTGTAGAGACGAGGCCTTGCTATGCTGCCCAGGATGGTCTCGGACTCCTGAGCTCAAGCGATCATCCCGCCTCGGCCTCCCAAAGTGTTGGGATTACAAGCGTGAGTCGCAGCGTCTGGTCTCTTTTTTGTATTTTTCATATTAAATATCACTTTTGCAATCAAGGAAAGTCCCGCATTGCAATAAACGCCGCATTGGTGTGGTTGGGGTGAGAGCTGCCGGCTAAGCCTCTGCAAGGCCACACCGACCGCTAGGTGGCGTGAACAAAGGCGAAGTGCAGCCGCAGCTGGGCGTTTGCGTCGGGGCGGGGTCTCGGGCAGCGTCTGGGGGCGGGGCCTAGACTGTCACGCCCACTCCCGGGTCGTGAGTTGTGCGTAGGGGCGGCCATGGCCGGGCCGCGCGTGCGGCTGGTCGTCACCGCGGACGACTTTGGCTACTGCCCGCGGCGCGATGAGGGCATCGTGGAGGCCTTCCTGGCCGGGACCGTGACCAGCGTGTCTCTGTTGGTCAACGGCGCGGCCTCGGCGAGCGCGGCAGAGCTGGCCCGCAGGTGAGGGCGGCCCTCTGCAGGAGCGGGACGGGCTTGGGACGAGCCCGCCGCGGCCGACCGAGCTCCTGCTCGCGCTCCGCCCGCAGGCACAACATCCCCACTGGCCTCCACGCCAACCTGTCCGAGGGCCGCCCCGTGGGCCCGGCCCGCCACGGCGCCTCGTCGCTGGTCAGCCCCAAAGGCTTCTTCCTCGGCAAGATGGGATTCCGGGAGGCAGTGGCAGCCGGAGACGTGGCTTTACCCCAGGTGCGGAGGCGCGGCTGCTGTGACCCCCAAAGTTCCGCCCGGAGGGTACCGTAAAGCCGCTAGGGGCAGGAGCTGGCGCTGGATGATTTCTTCATTCGAGCACTGCAACAGTCCCTCGAAAGCACAAGGAGGGAGATCCCCTCGGTAGCCGCTCCCGATCGCTCCCTGTGTCTGTCGTCCTCTCCAGGTGCGGGAAGAGCTGGAGGCCCAACTAAACTGTTTCCTGGAGTTGCTGGGCAAGGCGCCCACGCACGTGGACGGGCACCAACATGTGCACGTGCTCCCAGGTGCGTGGGCTAGTGTTCTCAGGGTGGGGGACGTTGCTCCCGGGTAGGGTGGGGCGGTAGGGGAAGGTCGATGCTCCTGAAGGAAGGGACGTGCTCCTCCCAGAACCCGCTCTTCCCGCAGGCGTGTGCCAGGTGTTCGCTGAGGCCCTGCAGGCCTACGGGGTGCGCTTCACTCGGCTGCCGCTGGAGCGCGGCGTGGGCAGCTGTATGTGGCTGGAGGCCGCGGCGCGCGCCTTCGCCTGCGCTGTGGAGCGTGACGCTCGGGCCGCCGTGGGCCCCTTTTCCTGCCACGGCTTGCGGTAAAGTCTCCTTGCGTCCCCTGTCCTCGGCCATGCACAGGTACCAGGTGTGGCCGTCCACCTGGCCAGCTGTGTCCATTTCTCAACCAAGAAGTGGGTTGAACAGGCGTCGACCCATAGCCCCCGCCCCAGTCCGTCCCGGCCTAGTCCCACCGGCTGCCCAGCCCCGTCACTAATGCTCAGGCACCCGCAGGTGGACAGACGCCTTCGTGGGCCTGAGCACTTGCGGTCGACACATGTCGGCTCACTGCGTATTGGGGGCGCTGGCGCGGGTTCTGGAAGACATCCCCACAGGCCGCGCCCTGACAGCCGAACTGATGGCACACCCTGGCTACCCCAGCGTGCCTCCCGAAGGGGGCTGTGGTGAAGGCCCCGACGCTTTCTCCTGCTCTTGGGAGCGGCTGCATGAGCTTCGTGTCCTCACCGCGCCCATGCTGCGGGCTCGGCTTGCCCAGGATGGTGTGCAGCTCTGTGCCTTGGACGAACTTGACTCCAAGAGGCCTGAGGAGGAGGTTCCCTGCGACGCCATGCTGGAACCCTTCCTGGAGCCCTCCCCACCCTGACCCCTACAACCAGCCAAGCACTATTCTAGTGCAAAGGAGCCAGGGTTATGGCCTGGCACAGCGTAGAACCAGGCCCTGGAGCAGGGTCTGTGACTTCCCTGAGTGGGACACTGCCACCTCTGTGCCCAGGTCAAGGCTCAGAATAGCATCCAGAGCTTGGGCAGCCCTTTTGGCTTCAGGCAGGCCCAGCCTGGGCCTAGGACCACAGAGCATTTGGTAACCCTCCATGTTAAAGGGTAAACACTTTCACTGTTCAGGGACAGTGGGAAGAGATTGCTGTATCAATAAAGTGTCTTTCAAATTTGGGTGGTTTATAAACTGTGCCCAGGAAAACTTCAGAGGAATAACTGACACAGAACTACACCCTCTTGGTTCAACCTAAGTCAGTATTCCAAGGAATGATTGCAAAACATTCATGTTCTGGTCTCATTCCTGCTTAGGTTTTCTTTATCCTTTGAGGGGTGGGGAGTTGGAGAAGACTGTCTCACCAGACAGCTTTTGGAGAGGCATATTATAATCTCAGTTTTGGTATAAAAATAAGTCACCTGTGGTAAGCAAGCCATTCTAGGGGATAGGTCTGGTGAGGCCCACCAAGCTCATGGGAGTGTATTTAAATTTTTCCAGGAAAGCCTGTCTTCTGTGGAAATGGGATCCTGAGATTCCTAACTGGATCTGCATGGATCCTGTGGACTGGGTCCCCATGTGCCTTAGATAAAGGTTTCTGAGATGAGGGAACAGATGGGGAAGGCAGTATGGAGTTCTCAGGAGCACAGAGTCCTGCTCACTCTGGAAGATGAAAAGGCAGATGAAATACCACATGGTCCTTCTTGTCTCCTTTCATGAAGTAGTGCCTAGAGGTGGGGGTGGCAAGGTAAGGCTTTGTTCATTTATTTGGTGTGCACTGGGCCCTGACCTGGCCTAGGCAGCTTTAGAGGGACATGTGGCTTTCTGAAGGGGTGAGGTTAGGATCATCTTTTTCCTGCTTCCACCCACCCATGCCCTGCCCCTTGACTGTGGCTTCCACCCCCTTTTCTGGCTCCTCGCTCATGCCCCATCATAGCCTGCCTTTGACCTTGATTCTTCCATGCACAGCTCCTTTCCCATTTCCTTTCACTCACATCCATGAACTAGAGTCACTGGAAGTTTGGTCCCTCCTGCTGCCTGGTCTTCACCTCCTAGCCTCAGCTCGCTGAGGTCTGGCCACATTCCTGCAGACTGCTGGTGGGGCTGGAAGGAGTGGAGGCTGGTAGGCAGCCACAGCACTCAGCCTGACCATGAGCATTTAAGCGTGAAGTGAGAGCCAGGCATGTTGGCTCAAGGCTGTAATCCCAGCACTTTGGGAGGCCAAGGCAGGAAGACTGCCTGAGTCCAGGGGTTTGAGACCAGCCTGGGCAACTTGGTGAGAACTTGTCTCTACAATAAATCAAAAAATTAGCCGGGCGTGGTGTTGCATGCATGTAGGTCCAGCTACTTGGTAGGCTGAGGTGGAAGGATCACCTGAGTCCGGCAGGTCGAGACTGGTGACTGAGCATGCCACTGCACTCCAGCCTGAATGACAGTGAGACTCTAATGAAAAATAAAAGGGGGGGGCATGACCCGACTGGTGGGAGAATCAGGTGACCAAGGCCCCCCTCACAAGGGAAGGGAAAGTTACAAGGAGGACACGTTGTCAGGTGGTCACAGGTGGGCCGCGGGGGTGGCAGAGTATTTCTTTTTTTTTTTTTGAGTTGGAGTCTCACTCTGTCGCCCAGACTGGAGTGCAGTGGCCGCTCCCGGCCACTGCAGCCTCGACCCGCTAGGCTCCGGCGATCCTTCCCCCTCAGCCTTCCAATTAGCTTGAACTACAGGTGCACGCTACCACACCCGGCTAACCTTTGATTTATTGTAGAGATGAGGTCTCACCAAGTTGCTCAGGCAACCCACTCACCTCAGCCTCCCAAAGGCTCGGGATTACAGACTGAGCCACCAAGCCCAGCGGCAGAGTATTTCTTAGGCAAGTGGTTCACCTTAACTCATCCATTCAGCCCTCATGTATGGAGTTTCTGCTCTGTGCCAGGGTGATCAGGCCACATGGAGGGATTGGAGAAACCCACAATAATATGTGGGGTCAAAGGGGGCTCCTAAGCCGGCCAGCAAGGGTTGGGAATGCTCTCCAGAAATTACTTCTTTCCCTGGGCCTTAGTCATGTGTGGTGCTGGACTCTGATCCTTGCCCCATCTGTGAGCAGTAACATGTTCCCGTCACCTGGGAACTAGTCATTTACCAGGCATGGCCTGGGCCAAGGCAGTGCTGCACTGGGAGCAGTCATACCCTCAGCTCCACTCTGGTGCACATGAGCAGCCCAGGGAGGAGGAAGAGCCAGGCAGAACAGGGCAGGAAGAACGTATACCAGCTCTGGCTTCTGGCCTGGGTTGGATGCCATGTGTGGGACATGGAACTACTGTCAAGTGAAAGGAGAGGCTGCCACCAATTGCGCTGGCATAAGCTTGTCCTGTATAATCACTAGCAATCTCTTTATGTACTCTGAGAGAGAACATCAAAATGGTTTGCTAATTTACAATATCCCCTGAGAGGGGACATTCAAGTACAAAGGGTTAACATGGAGTGAGGAAGGCCAGAAGACGGTAGTTCCTAAGGACAAGAAATTGAGTGGGTCTTACAAGCCTCTAGCTTTGGGGCGGGGGACTGTGGCTATGTCTGGGCTCAGGGGGACCCTGTGGGAGGAAGTGTGCTGAGTGGTGAAATGCAACAGGCTCTGGAGTCAGACTGCAAAAACACAGGCCAGGCGCGTTGGTTTTCTCTTCTGTAAAAGTGGAGTCTCACAAGGCTGTCCTGAGACCCACAGAAAAAAAAAGTGCCAGACAAGCAAAGGAAAACCCATGGCTGACCAGAGGAAAGGCTCATTCTGATCAGCTGGTAAAATGATCCCAGGAAATTTCCTTTCCCAAGACCTGCAGGCCCAGCTGACAGTGCAGGCCTGGTCTTAGCTGGTGTCAAATTCCAGGCAGGGAAGGCCCAGCCAAAAAAATTTTCGTGGGCTTATCTGGGCCCTACACTGAGTCAGCACCACTTTCACAGTGCCTTGACAGTGGGCTATACTAGGGACTGGCAGGAGGGTTTCTGGCAGGCACTGTTCAGGGCAATGACCTAGCCCTACCCTCAGGCACACGCTCATTAGTTGTGACCTCTCAGGGCCCTGGGATGGCTGAAGTGATGCACCCATGCATTGAAGTCTTTGTCCCCTTGAGAGACACCCAAGGGGTTCCTCTGCCCTGACATCTGGACTCTGGCTTTTCCTGTGTCATTACACCTCACCCATTTCCCCCCAGGGAGGGAGGAACACCTCTGTGCACCAACTGCTGGAGAGGATGGGAATGGGGAAATCAGAGGGCCCAGGACCTGGGCCCCAGTCACCACTCCCATCTCGAAGAGCACAGGCTGCTGGCATGGCCCACCCCCAGTAAGGAAGAAACCCACACAACCAACCAGTGTCTGAGAGCATTTTTATTAAGGGCAGCAGAACGGGATCGCAGCATCTTAGAAAGCCTATTCTCCGCCATGGTGGAGGGTAGGGGGGCAGAGGGGAGGACCCGGCACACTTCAAGGAACCAGGGGCTGTGAATCCCTGAGCAAGCCAAGTCAGCGGTGGGTGGCTGCTCCACAGCTCTCCCCTCCTTCAGAGAACCCAACTTTTTGGTTTTGGAGCTGCCAGGGCTGTCCACTAGCTTGCTCAAAGCCTGCTCTGAGGCCATGGCTAGAAGAAGCAAACAGCCCAGACTAAGGGAGAGACACCCACTGGCTTGAGAGACAGGCCTCTGCTGTGGGGCAAACCATGGGGTGCCAGTGCCAGGGCTGAGAGTCCCTGAGGGGCTTCCGCACTAAGGTGTCCACCTGTGGTGAGCAGAGTGCAGTGAGGGGGTGACAGGCAGGCAGAGCTACGTTGGCAGAAATATGAAGCAATGGGACAGTTTCCAAGAATGGCAATATTTCTGGATTCAGAGAAGCAACAAGAGCAAATGGTGGTTTGTTTGGATAGCTTCTGACAGAATTTGGCATATTATTACAAATCTGAGTATGAGTGAAATAAATTAATCAGTTTTCTGCTAATGAAGAGACAGATGTGGAAACGCTGGCCCAGCATTCCTGCCATCCTGGGCACACGGGGGTCTCCAGAAACCTGTCCCTAGCATACCTAGGATTAAGGAAGCTAAGTTCATCGACACACTGCAGGGGCCATGCTCCTGGGCACTGAACAGTGTTGGGTGCCCGACCTGCCCATCACTTCCCACTGCTGCACAGGTGAGCCCAAGCTGTCTTACAAAGTCTGTAGACCCAGAAAGATCTCCAGTTATAGAACTAAAATTAAAACAGAAAGCAAAGTTTAAGTCATCTTCTCCACAGGATCTAGTCCCCCCCAAGAGCCAAGAAAGAAAGCCACCAGTAGCAGAAGCGGGGTTGGTGACACACGGCGTTTGGGTTATTGGCTTCCTCTGGGTGTTAGAGTGACATGTATTCTCTACTAGTTTGGAGACAGTCACACTTGCCTTGAAAAGACATTAACATTCAAATCCTTACAAGTTCATCTGATGATAAATTCTAAGGTCAATTTTTATTTCTACAAAAAAAGGCAGTTGAAACAATATAAAACACATTTAAAGGATATTACCGAGTGAGCTTCAAGTGGAGCTTGACTCTGCAAAGGCTGTGAGTCCAAAGAGAGAGGGAAGGCCGTCTTGTTCCTGGGCTGGGCTGGCCGGCTGCTCCAAAGGAAGGGGCCCATAGGGGCCCTGGAGACCCCAGAATAGTGCTGGCTAAAGAGCCAAGTCCTGCCAATTCCAATCCCGCAAAGGGTCAGGCTGTGCTGAAGGAGGGCTGTGGTGGGGCCGCCGCACGAAGATGGAGAGTGAACTCCATGGCACATTCGGATGGAGCTCGGTGACAGGTGAGCCTGGAATTTCAAATGGATATTCTGGCTTTAGCTTTGTCTGAAAGGACCAGCAGATCTTCTGAAATAACTACAGGAAGGAGTGCCAACCTTTGGCCTTAGGAGCCCTTCTGGTGGGAGAGTCATCACACACAGTGCGATGCATAGTATCCTTTGGCTGGCAGGCCCTTCAGGGTCACCACAGACCTATTATTGCAGGGTTTCCCTACATGGGCCAGGCTGTGCATCAGACATGCACACTGACACTGGGGTTTGCCCAGTTGATTGATGTTACTGTGGTAACATTAGCTGGATTTTTACTTAAGAGCTGGGACTCCTTCTTCACGGCTTCTTGGGGAGGGGGTTTAGGAGGACATGTGGCTGTTTGCTTGTTTTTAAAATTTTAAAAAGGATAGTATAAACTGGAGACAGAAAAATTTAAAACAACTCCCATGCTGGGCAGGCCACCACGGAAGAAGCGCTATGAGAAATGCCACAGCTCTCTCTTCTCTTTTGCAGAGAAGATGGGGCCTGGGTCCGGGGAAGTGAGTAAGTGAAAAATTGAGTGCAAGAAAGTGGGAGTTGCCAGGGCAAGGGGAAGAAGGGAAACAAACCTTTTTTCTCTTTTTTTTACCTTATGGGCTAAATGTAACTTGAGGATTTTGGATAAATTTGGACAAGAAAAGAAACACCATTCTTTTGAAGTAGATTGAAGCAGTGATTTTTAAAACAAAGAAAGCAGAACTAGAACATCTTAAATTTTTAATCCTTTCTTTACAGGTTACCTAGACCACTTTTGATTAAGAAAACTGTAGAAAGTTAGTAACTGCCACAAGCGAACGCCAGGCGGTGGCACGTGTCAATTTTCCACAGAGTCCTGCTTTGCGGGATGTCTGAATGCACTGCTTGGGGTCTCTGCTCACACTTGCTGGAATCAATCGCGGCAGATTTTAGTCCACAGGTCGCTTTTCCCCATATTTCTTTGTAAACTCTTCAGCGTTCTTACAGAATTTTTTACGGTCCTTAGAGTATTCTTCAGCTAGGTCAGCCCGAAGGGGGTGCTCGGGCTGGGGGTCGTTCACCAGTGCTATGAGGGACTGGATTACTGCCAAGACAAGGACAAGGAATTGGGTTAGAACAGTCTGAAAGGGCATGGGCAAGAGGAGCTAATCCCAGGAATGAAACTTAGACCACACCACCAATTTACATCTAATGTGCTTAAGACAAAGCAGCCTCCTATTTATCCATAATTCCAATCACCATCTTTCCTCTGTAATTAAGAGAAGTTGGTAGATGAACATGACAGCGGATAACTGTTCAGAGTGATGCTCCCTCCTCCAGGAAGCCTGGCACCCTCTCATGTGCTCAGGAGACAGCTGGCCTAGCACTGACACACCTTTACTCTCGGAAGAGCCTTAGGAGTTTCTGAACCTTCAAGGGTCACTGGAGCACCCTGTCCAGCCACTGAGAGGCTGCAACCATCAGTAGCATCATACTGCCAATCCCATAGGCAGAAGTATATCAGTGGCTCAGGTGGGTGCCACAATGCTTGCCCAAGGATGCTGTAGGTCACACCTGGGGCAGAAGAATGGTGGGAGATCAGAAGTGGGGCGCCACCCACACCTCCTCACACTCTTCTTCATACTTACCCTGACCTCCATCAGGACCAGCTTCCCCAGAGTGCCGTGTTTCTGCCCACTGCCATATTTCCAGCAAAAAGGGGCCTCTCTCCTCTGAATTTTGTCCCAACATAAGGAATGCGTTTGACCCAACATAAGGAATGGATTAAAATACTGATGCTGGCTAAGTCATGCACAAAGGCATAGCCAGCTAATACTGAGTGAGGGTCACAGCAAAAGTACTCCTGGTCAGGTGTCCAAGGATCCCCTAATTCCACCTCTGCCTACTATTGCTACTAGGTGAGAAAAGGCCAAGAGAGGGCCCCTGTGTTCAGGGTGGGTGCTGGTGAGGTGGGGACAGCCATGCAGGGCTGACAGGGTCCAGGTTCAGTGAGGAGGATTAACTGGGCAAGGAGGGTTTACTATGAACATAAAGCAGGGGCCCTAAAGGCTCTCTGCAGGCCTGGGTGGCCTCTAGCACCATCACCACGCCTCCTCAGAAGCACACTCTTATCACCACCCTGGACAGGCCACCTGGACTACCTCTAATGGCAGTGGGCCCTGGGGGATAAAATTTTTTCCCTCTCTATTTCCAGATTTATCCCTTTTGTATTTTGTTTGTGCCTACCTGAGCAGAAGCGATGATAAAGCTATTCTGTTCTTAACTTACTCAACTTTAGTCACTGGTACTATTGGTCATATATCCATACAGAGTCTACATTGTTATTTATTTAACATCTTTAAATCACCTTACTTTTCAATATAAGTATTTTCAAAAGAAAAGGAATGTGACTTAAAACTCACTGTTACTTGCCATAAGGAGAAGGCATGCCTTAATAAACTTTGAGCACCCATGACTTCCCTCCTCCTGTCCAAGCAGGGGAGCAACCACACTGGGGACACACTCTTCCAGAGGGCATGCCCATTGCTTCTCTAAAAACCTGCCCTAGGTTTGCTGGCCATCATGGTATTCCAGCACATGCCACGCCTTTCCACACCACATTCAATGTGAGACTGTTTCCTCTATTGACTTCAGGTTTGAAAACAGAACTGCAGTTGCCTGAGAGCCCAAACAGGTAGCTTCGCTCTCTCCCCATGATCAGGAGAGTTACCACCTCACAGCAGGAGCCCATGGAGCTGTGGGTAGGTTAGGTACTTTGGGGTGGATGTTTTCATGAGTTTGTTTGTTTGTTTGTTTTTTTGAGTTGGAGTCTCACTCTGTCTCCCAGGCTGGAATGCAGAGGCATGCTCATGGTCACCACAGCCTCAACCTGCTGGACTCAGGTGATCTTTCCACTTTAGCCTTTCAAGTAGCTGGAACCACAGGTGTGCACTACCATGCCTGGTTAATTTTGTGATTTACTGTGGAGACAAGGTCTTGCCAAGCTGCCCAGGCTGGTCTCAAACCCCTGTACTCAGACAATCCTCTTGCTTCTGCCTCCCACAGTGCTGGGATTACAGGCTTGAGCCATTGCGCCCAGCGGTCTCATGAATTTTTAAGACTTTCTGCTCACCCTCTGTTATGGATATCCAGGCTCTCTACTTCTCACTATGGTCACCTTAATAGTATAAAGCCATTTGTTAATTTACATATATATATGCACATTACATATACATATATATATATGTACACACATACATACACACACACACACACACACACATACATATATATATGCATGCTAGTAAAGTGAAGCAGCTGGTGTTGTTAAGACCTGCTTTTCAAAGAATATTCAACTTGTAAGTTTGCTATTTGTCTATTTCACTTTCTCTAAGAATTCACTTTTACTTATTTGATCAAATCTATATATTTTCAAATTTATTTAGTAATTCTGATAAGTATTCCATTATTTCTGTATTCCACTGAATACATTTCTGGCTCCTCAGCTAAACTATAGTATGCTTCAGCTGAGCTGCACTTGTTTTGCTAGTAAGAACACTGACAGCTTTGTCTGCTTCTCAAACTACAACTATGGCCCTATCTCATTATTTTTCATATATAGGGTAACACACTAATTATATTTTATAAACAGTCCTAGTTTCCTGATCTTTTCCTTGACTCAAATGCTCCCAAAAAGTATTTTTCTTTAAAACTGAAAGGCTTGCTGGGTGCAGTGACTCATGTCTCCCAGCACTTTGGGAGGCAGAGGCAAGAGGATTGCCTGAGTTCACGGATTCGAGACCAGCCTGGAAAACTTGGCAAGACCTCATCTCTACAATAAATAAAATAAAAATAGAAAAATTTGGCGAAATCTCATCTCTACAGTAAATTAAAAAATTAGCCAGGTGAGGTGGCGTGTACCTGTGATTCCAGCTACTTGGAAGTCTGAGGTGGAAGGATCACCTGAGCCCAGTAGGTCGAGGCTGTGGTGGCCATGAGCATGCCACTGCACTCCAGCCTAGGCGACACAGTAAGACTCCAACTCAAAAAAAAATAAAAATAAAAATTTTTTTTACCTTCTACTCTCATTGTATTATCATCACATCAGAGAATAAAGCCTATAAAATTTCCAGGCCGGGCATGGTGGCTCACGTCTATAATCCAGCACTTTGGGAGGCCGAGGTGAGAAGATTACCCGAGCCCACAAGGCTCAAGACCAGCCTGGGCAACTTGGTGAGACCTCATCTCTACAATAAATAAAAAAATTAGCTAGGTATGGTGGCGTATGCCTATAGTTCCAACTACTAGGAAGGCTGAAGCAGAAGGATCGCCTGAGCCCAGCAGATTGAAGCTGTGGTAGTCGTGAGCGTGCCACTGCACTCCAGCCTGGGCGACAAAGTGGGACTCCAACTCAAAAAAAAACAAAAAAACAACTCCTCCTTTTTGTTCTTACTGAGTTTCTTTGCAACAGAGGATGTAAACAATATCTGTACTTTTCCTCTTTTTAATATCCAGGGGGCTTCATTCTCACAGAATAAAACGTTAATGGTACCTTCCCCCATCCTAAAAGATATGTAATGCTGTAGACTTCCATAAAACGTGTTTAAAGGCCGGGCTCGGTGGCTCAGCCTGTAATCCCAGCACTTTGGGAGGCCGAGGTGAGTGGACTGCCTGAGCCCGTGGGTTCGAGACCCGCCTGGGTAACTTGGTGAGACCACATCTCTATAATTAAAAAAAAAAAAAAAAAAAATCAGCCGGGCATGGTAGCGCACACCTGTAATTCTGGCTACTCGGAAAGCTGAGGCGGAAGGATCGCCGGAACCCAGCAGCTCAAGGTTGCGGTGGCTGGGAGCGGCCACTGCACTCCAGTCTGGGTGACAGAGTGAGACTGCAACTCAAAAAAAAAAAATGTGTTTACAAATGTAAGCTCGGGGAGGAGGGAAGGAGAAACAAACAAACAAACAAACATATATATATATATATAAGCTGGCTAGGCACGGTGGTTTACACCTATAATCCCAGCACTTTGGGGGGCCGACGTGAAAGAATTGCCTGAGCCCGCAGGTTCAAGACCAGCCCAGGCAACTTGGCAAGACCTCATTTCTACAAAAAAATTTAAAAATTAGCGGGGCATAGTGACACATGCCTGTAGTTCCAACTACTTGGAAGGCTGAGATGGAAGGATAGCCTGAGCCCAACAGGTCGAGGCTGTGGTGGCCAGGAGTATACCACCGCCCTCCAGTCTGAGTGATAGAGTGAGACTCCAACTCAAAAAAATATAGATATATAATGTAAGCTAATTGTGTCCCTTTTATTATAGTATTGCATGAGTCCTTTCTAAATTTTATCTCCTTGGTTTGTTATAAGATGATGGTGTGTGGGTCATTGAAACATTCAATTCATGAATGTGTTTAATTTTTCTCTTCATATAATTTTCTTGCTATATTGATTGCCACATATAGATTCATACATGCTGGCTTTATTACTGATTATATTTTATATGGCAAATCTCATTCAGCCACCAAACTAAATCCTAGTTTTGTTATTAAGATACCTACTAGAACAAAACACTGCTACAACAAAACTTTTTTCTTCCTTCTTATGGTACTACCCTTCCTGTTTGACTTGTTTCTTGACTTTTCCCATGTTACTTTTGCTCAATTTCTATGATTCTTTACTGTTTTCATCATCTTTTTTTTTTTTTTGAGTTGGAGTCTCACCCTATCGCCTAAGAAACTGGAGTGCATGGCATGCTCACGACCACTGCAGCTTTGACCAGTTGGACTCAGGTGATCCTTCTGCTTCGGCCTTCCTAGTAGCTGGAACTACATGTATGTGCCACCATGCCCAGTTAATTTTTTGAATTATCATAGAGATGAGGTCTCACCATATTGCCCAGGCTGGTCTCGAACCTGTGGGCTCAGGCAATCCTCTCACCTCGGCCTCCCAAACTGCTGGGATTACAGATGTGAACAACAGCCCCTGGCTTTTTTTTTTTTTGAGTCAGGGTCTTACTCTGTCAACCAGGCTGAAGTGCAGTGACATGACCATGGCTCACCACAGTCTCAACCTCCTGGGCTCATGCAATCCTTCTGCTTCAGTCTC